GAGACTTACGAAGGAGACACACGTGCGAAGGCACAGTAGGATCCTCGAACCCGAGAGGCTGCTGACAGTAGACAGTCTCGGCTAAGTGACCGTGGAGGAAGGCGTTCTTGACATCGAGTTGGTGAACGGGCCAAGAGGCTGAGATGGCGAGAGTGAGAACGACACGGATGGTGCTAGGCTTAACGACTGGTGAGAAGGTCTCATCATAGTCGATCCCCTCGGTCTGAGAGAAACCACGGACAACCCAACGTGCTTTGTAGCGCGCAAGGGTTCCATCGGAATGATACTTGACACGAAAAACCCACTTCCCGCTGACGACGTGAGAGCCAGCAGGACGGGGAACAAGTGTCCAAGTGTCATTCTGAAGGAGTGCCTGGTACTCATCAGTCATGGCAGCAGCCCAGTTAGGGTCGGCAAGGGCAGCACGATAAGTGCGAGGTAGGGGCGAAATGTTAGGAGCGTCGACAAGAAAGTTAAGTTTGCGAGAGGGGAGGGTAAACCTGGATTTAGCACGCGTACGCATGGGATGTGGGTTAGCGGGGGGTTGAACAGCGACTGCATGGGGCGGCAGTGGTCGTGGAGGCGTGCTAGGTTGGGAAGGATTAGCGCTAGCTGGCGCGGGAGTTGACGAGGCGGCCGGTCCTACAGAACTCGCCGAGGCAGGGCTGGGTGCAGTAGACATTGGGTTGGGTTCGCTAGATGAACTAGGCTGGGAGCAAGGGATGGGCGTAGTGGCTGGTGTGGCAACGTCCGTAGAGGAGACGGGAGAGGACGGGATGGCCGCTCGCATGGACGAAGCGGGACTGACTGGTTTTGCTACCGGGCTAGGAAGAAATGGTGGGAGGGGACTAGCTGGGAAACTAGGGCCGGTTGGTAGATCGGGAAAAAGATCAGCAATAGAGGGTTTCGCAGGAGGGCGACTAGCGAACGGGAAAACGGTCTCGTCGAAAACAACGTGCCTAGAGATATGAACCAGGTGTGTAGAGAGATCAAGGCAGCGGTAGCCTTTGTGATCCGTAGGATATCCAAGAAAGAGACACGCCGTCGACCGCGGTGCCAACTTGTGGGCAGCAGTGGCGGGCGTGTTGGGAAAACAAAGACATCCGAAAACCCTAAGGTGATCATACGTAGGAGGTTGAGAGAAAAGAGCCTCGTGAGGAGTAGATCGGAGTAGGGTTTTGGTTGGCCGAAGATTGAGAAGATGGGTGGCAGTAGAGAGGGCGTCAGCCCAGTACTTAGGCGGCATGTTGGCTTGAATTAGAAGGGTCCGTACAACGTCGTTAGTGGAGCGAATAGCACGCTCAGCAGTGCCGTTTTGTGAAGACGTGTAAGGACATGAGAAACGCATGGTCGTACCAAAAGGAAGGAAGAAGTCGCGATTACTAGCGTTGTCAAACTCTCGGCCATTGTCGCATTGGAATGTGGCGATAGTGCGATGAAAATGGGTGCGAACAAGAGCATGGAACGAACGAAAAATAGCATGCACGTCGGACTTAAGGACAAGAGGAAACGTCCACCGGTATTTAGTGTAATCGTCGATGATGATAAGGTAGTATTTGTTGCCAGAAACACTGGAGATGGGAGCTGTCCAGAGATCACAATGCATTATTTCGAAAGCAGCACTAGTAGAACTACGTGATGGATAAAAAGGCAAACGAACGTGCTTGCCCAACTGGCAGGCATGACAAAGTGGTACACAAGCAGAGTTTTTATTACATGAAGGAAACCCTTTATTGCAAAAAGTATGGGCGCCGGGGTGGCCGAGCCGGCGATGCCACAGATCCGTGAGCCGGGAGACGGTGGCGCTGAAGGCAACGGCGGCGTCACTCGAAGCGTTGTTGGCGAAGATTGGGTAGAGCTTGCTGCTACTGTTGCATCGGTGCAGCGCTGCCTTGGTGATGTAATCCTTCACAGTCAGACCAAAAGGATCAAACTCTACGGCAAGATTATTGTCAGTAGTAAGGCGACGAATGGAAAGAAGGTTTTTGACGATATTAGGAGTGACCAAAACGTTCTGAAGATAGAGAGGACGGGAGGGATTAGCAAGTGTGGCTGATCCTATGTGCGTGACGTGCATGGGTTGTCCATTTCCAACGTATACAGGGGGATAATTGGTGATCGGGGTAACCGGCGAGAGCATACCTGGGTCCGAGGTAATGTGAGAAGAAGCGCCTGAGTCCGCGATCCACCCGTTGGTGGAGTTCTGCAGCGTCAGGTTGTGGAGAGCCCCCATCAGCGCCGCCTGATCCACTCCATCCGAAGCCTGCGTGGTGTGGTGCTGCTGCGGCTGCGGAGGTGCAGCCAGAAGGGGCGGCGACTGCTGCATCAGAGAGGCGGCCGGGTACGGTACCGAAC